ACTTAGTACCCTTCAACGTGTCCAGGGACGCTCAAACTAAGCTCTCTTTTGCTTCCACGCCACGGTCCTTTCAAATGTTCTATACAGCTGCCCAGTAGGGCAAATAGTTCAGACACTTCGAACACGGGGTTGCCTTGGCTGGGATCTCTTCATACGAAGCTGCCGGCTTCACTAGTTGGCCTGCAGCCACGTAGCACCAGCCGCACGCCGTCTGCCACCTGCTAGGGGCAAGGTGGCTGTTGGACACTGAAGCGGCATGGAACTTCAAGGTGACCACAGGCGGCTTCAGATATGCCTGCAGGAGGGACTTCACCGAGTCCTCATCAAAGTGCGCCATCTTCCTCTGGGCCTTGCTCTTTTCTGTGATCTTGTCCACAAAGCAGCTGACCTTGCTCGCTAGCCCGGAGATCTGCGACTGCAAGCCTTGGTGCTCCGCAATCTGTGGACAACAGGAGACGCCTCCCTAGCGTCTTCGATGTAGGCTTTGACTGCTGAGCTTGAGTGGCGAGTGAGGAACATGATCAGCTCTTCCGGCACGCCGGCCTTCACCCAGTGCTTGACGCCGGACCTCCTGAGGCTGTGCCCCGACACGAGGCCCACATCTGCGCTCTCCTTGAGAAAGCCCTTGTCCCTGAGGTAGCCGGCGTCTTCGCGAAGTGCTGCCAGCACTGCCTCCTTCTGCACCACCTTTGAGGCATCTCCTTCTTGGCCAATGAGTGGGTAGTCTGCCGCTGCCGAAGTTCCAAGTTGCACTCCTAGCATGACCTCTTGGTGGTTCACCAGGACGCCCGCGATGCAGTAGGGGCAGACCACGGGTTCCTTGGAATTGCATCGGCAGCCTAAGGTGCGCTTGCATCCTCTGGCATATTGGTCCGTCTTGGACACCGAAAGGCTTATGGTGACCAAGGAGTTCCACTCATCAAGTTCGATCTCGTCCAGCATGATGCAACTCAATTCGACCTCACGCAGGCAGAAGCACGACCCCAGGATCCAGACATACTTCCGCAGCGCTGGCCACGTAGCGCAACGAGTCTCCGGGGATTCGGGCAAATGTGCCCACAGATTCGGCTCGATCTCCAAAGCACGGCACGGCGGGCCTAGTCCTCGAGTGAGACCTCTGCGACAATCACGGAGAGCCACATCCAGCGACTCTGTCCAAGAGTGGCCGGCACGGACATGGCAGTCCTTTGCTTCATACAAATAGGCAGGTCTGGACTTGAAGCCAGCCGCCCTCAGCGCTGAACTCACGATGTTGAGCTTGTCCACATCCACAGGTAGCGAGGTCAGACCTCTGGCCTCCAAAATGTCGGACCAGAGCTTGAATTGTGCGGGTTGTGCCTGGGGCATACCTGACTGCGCAATGGCCAGTGCGTCAGAAGCATTGCCCCTCCTTCTCTTCGAAACAGCCCATGTAGGGGTCATAGGTGCTCCCGGACGCCTCCTCTCTGAGGCTGCAAGGCGCTCACTAACGCCACTGGATCTGTCGAGCCCCAGACGCTTTCCTCCCGAGCAACGAGAGCTTCCTCTGGTGTGGTTGGGCTCGGTTGCCCTTCTGCACTGCCAAGCCTACGTCTGAGGGCGGCTTCTAGCAACCTCTCACCACTTTCATTGTCCAGGGCCAGAGATGAAAGCGACACTGTTTGGCGGGATGTTGAGAGCGAAGGGTGGGGTCCAAGAACTCAAGCGATTCTGGAAGGATGTTCTTAGAATGCTTACTGACGACATTCTTCCTCCTTGGCGCCCTTGTTGGCTCCTTTCTTACTTGGCTGTTCTCGCTGCCTGCACCTGCACCTTCGCTGCCTCCGAGTCCTGGGTTGGGTCCTGTGCTGGCCCCCTCTTCGTTCGCTGCTTTGACTACGTGACTGGCAGCGATGAATCTACTCCCGACGGACACCGAGCTTGCAGGTTGGACGACCCTGAACGACTTCCGGCAGTGGAGCTCGCTGCGCGAGGAGGTTTGGCAGTGTGTGAACCACACTTTGGGGGAAATTCAGCAGGTGCGGCGCATGGCCAGTTTGCCGGCAAGTGTTTTGAAGCATGCTATGGGCGCCACGCGAGTTCCTGTAGCTGGATCACCCGGTGCTCGACCATTGACAGCTGCAGAGATGCTCATGTTGGGGTTCTTTTGGAGAGCGTGTCGCAAAGCAGTGGGTTTGGCGGACCTGGATCCGCTGACGGACACAGCTACAGCTGCTGCCCCAGAGCCGGGACCGGCCACTCCGACAAAGGCTGGAAACCGAGTCAAGAGCGCGGCAATCATCGACCAATTGGACGAGACAGAAGTCGAGCCCCTCACCAGGACCGAACTGGACAGGGCATATGCATGCCACGTCGAAGTCCGACTCACGAGGCCAATTGGCTGCGCTCAGGGACAAGATTGTGAAAAGGGGCGAGGCCCCGTACGCGACTTCTCCATCTTCACTCCCTATGGGAGGAGGGTTCAGCGCCAGATGCGCACTTGGTTCTAGATCCCTGGACCATCGTCCTTTCAGGCTTGGACCGCCTGCTGGCGGGTTTTCAAGGCGGCTTTGTACATGATCCGCCATCCAAGCTCGGGGGGGGCAGCCGGAAAAGATGGTCGTGACAGCGGCCGTCATGGAGGAATACTTCGACCACATCGCAAAGCTCAACGAGGAATTCCCGGAGGCCTGGCGCCTCATCATGCAGCCCGAGGACCGATGCCGAGGAGAGGTCTTCGAGCGCTACCCCCGACAGCTCTTGAAGGCAGCCACCGAGGGCAAGCTCGATGGGCCTGGATTTTGACCCCACCCAACTCTGGGTATAGGGGTCTTTGCCTACGCGGCTTGAGACACCGACTACTGGGGCCGCCATGTGGTCAGGCCAGCACATACTTTCCTGGCTCGGGGAGGGAAGAACATGACGAACAGGAGTGCAGAAGACATCAGCGTCTCGGAGGACGCAAGAGCGGCTTTGGCTGGAGTGGCTCCTACCATCGAGATCCCAAGCGCGGCAGGAGAGACTCCAAGAACCGAGACAGCCCTCAGAACAAGGAGACGAAGATCGAGGTCAAGAGCGAGAAGACAGAGCAGCAGGCGGCAAAGAGCGAGCATCCGAAGAAGTGGGGGGCTCACTACATCACGGACTACGACGGCGACGAGATTTGCTTCAAGTTCACGAAGGGAAAGGCTGGGGACTGTGGCGAACCCTGCAGTCAAGGTCGGGTTCATCGCTGTCAGCATTGTTTGGGCTCCCACGTGAACGATCAATGCCCTGCTCATGTGAACTGGTCGACTGCGCAGGGAAGTGGGAGCAGTTGCCAACTCAGGCAAACCAAGATCATGGCAGCGGGGACAGCAGGAGGAGCCCAGTTAGGTGAAACCGCAGTCCCCGACAGTCAAGAAGAAGTTCAACTTCCTGGAGCTCTACGCAGGCTTCAAAGGGCTCAGCAAAGCCGTGTTGGAAGTCAACGGAGATCAAGTACATGTGCTGAAGCCCTTGGAGCTCTACGACGGGTGGGACATCCTCACTCCGGAGGGCCTCAACGAGGCCAGAACACTGGCCAAGGAAGCAGACCGCATTCATGTGGCCATCCCGTGCAGGAGCTACACGAGGGCCAGAAGATCAGATGTGCATGGGACGGTGCCCACGGTGCGCTCCGAAGCGCGCCCAGAGGGCTGGGGACACCCTGTGGCCGAGGAAGGCAACAGACGCTTGGCCGCCATGGAGGTCGTCCTCTTGGAAGCAGCAAAGGCTGGGGCCACAGTTTCAGTCGAGAACCCTTGGGACTCCTACCTGTGGGAGACCGAGAAGATGAAGCGGTTGGCGAAACGCCTCAACCTCGAGTCGGTGTACATCGACCAGTGTGCCTATGGTGGGATGTCCAAGAAGCCCACCCGGATCCTCACCAATGCAAATTGGATGCAAGCGGTGAACCTCACTTGCAACCAGGTGAGACAACACAAACACAGCAAGCTCGAGGGGAAGGTGTGGGACCTCTGGAAGACGTCCAAGGCTGCAGAGTATGCATGGGCTCAAGCGCTACGGGACCATCTTCAACACGGTCCAGGCCAGCCGACGATGCAGAAGAAGACGTTCGAGAAAGTGGGGTTGCACAAACAGGTGCTGGTCCGCTCGGATCTGAAGAGGCCGACCTCAACCAGATCGGCGGGCTCCAAAGGACCGGAAGAGTCCGAACCCTCGGAAGTCAAGCTCCTGACCTTCGAGGCTGAGAACTCAAGAGCAATCGGGGATCTGAGAGACCCGCGGGCCTCCGTGTCACAGACTTCGCACCTTCGTACTACAGGCCTTCGGCTGAGGAGGGTCTTGAACGCAGCTTTGACTCCAGAGACGCTGCAAGCTTTTCAAATCTGTCCTACAGAGACACCTTTTTCACTTGAAGTCATGGCACGCACACGAGATGCCTTGGCAACTGAGTTTAACACCACAGCCACGCACGCACAGCGGCTACGAAAAGAGCATCATTCAAGCGGTGCTCGAACAGTCACATGATTTAGAAGCTGATGTCATTCCCCGATGGTTTCCCTCTGGGTATTGTTCACCCCATCCCACACACAGGTATTTTCCCCCAGACCGAAGATGTCTCGGATGCGATTCGCATGTCGGCACTGTGTGGGAGGGCAGTGAAGGATTGGCACGGCACGGCATTGAATTGCGAGTCCTTTTATCAAGCAGGGGAGAAAAGCCCAATCCGAACTTGACAGAATGATCCATGAGGGCTGGGCTGAAATCGTTCCGACTTGGTCCCAGGCGGTCCAGCAGTTTGGTCCAGAGGCGCGGCTGACACCGGTAGCATGCATCATCAAGCAGTCTCATGGTAAGGAGAAGGTCCGTCTAGTGGTAGACATGGAGAAGTTCCGTAAATGGCCTCATGACCGTAAAGGAACGGGTCGTATTGCCAAGAGTCAGTGATGCTGCAAAGAGTGTCCAAGCTCTAGCCTCTACGGACGAATACCTGTTGGAACTCCTTTGTATAGATTTTAAAGATGCATTTTACACCATGCCGGCCCATCCAGAGGAACGAGGCTACTTAGTTGTCAAGGACGCACACGCCAGATATGTGTGCATCAAGGTCTGTGCGTTCGGGCTCGCCAGTGCACCCTTGCTTTGGTGCCGCTTAGCGGCTAGCATTATGAGGCTAGCTCAGGCCACCCATCATGATTGGGAAGGTCGAATAGCATGCTACGTAGATGACTCGGTTATCGTCGCATGCGGTCGCACTGCGCTCGATCGATCACGGATCATGCTTCGGAGTATACTCTTGCGGGCAGCCCTAGGTTTTAAGCTATCCTGGGGCAAAGTCCTACGGGGGTTTGAGTTGGAATGGATTGGTGTAAAGCTCACCATCCCGCGGGGGCTCCCTCGTGCGCTCGAGGTCGAGCTCTCCGCCGACAAGGTCATCAAACTCAAGGAGGCGCTGCAAGGGCTGCTAGATAAACCCTTGGTTCCTGTCAAGGTCTTGCAACGAACCACGGGGGTGTTAGGATAGCTTTCAAGCATCATACCAGAGGTTCAACCGTGGCTAGCCATGTTATGGGCTGTCTTGACCCAAGCTCTACGTCACGAAGGTCCCAAGCGCCAGAAAACCCGAGAACGCAAAGGGTTGGTTTTTCGCAGCTGGAACATGCCGCTCGATTTTTGCTGGCCCTGCTGACCAACGTGTCCGGCCCTACACTCAGGCACACTTACCGCCTTCAGCCTCAGGACGCCAGGTGGACTGACGCCTGCCCCACGGGGATGGGGGCCGTCCTGTACTTCGTAGGCAAGCCGCTGATGTTTTGGGCCGACGAGATTTCTGACGAAGACCTTTCCCTGTTGCACGCTGAACGGATCCCTGAGTTTCAGACGGAGTTTGAGATGTACACCATCCTCTTGAGTGTGAAACTGTTTCTACCCTTGTAGCCGCCACTTTTCGCCCTTTTCTTACGTACAGACAATTCTGCCTCATTGCATGCGTGTCTCACTTTTAAGGCCAAGTCTCCTTTGTTGACACACCTGACAGCAGAGTTCTTGTTAGAGTTTTTGTGTCATGGATGGACTCCACCAAGTGGAGAACATGTCGCAGGGGTACTGAATGACATAGCTGATGCACTCAGCCGTGGAGAAGTGCCACCCTGCCTGGCACAGGTCAAAAGATTGGACACTTTTGTCCGTACAGCCGACATGTTCCGGGCCTGGCCCTATGCCTCAGCCCCATCCGGACGCGGAGCGACGTAGAAACACTTGCGATACTGCGTCTCAGGGGGCCAGAGAGGGAGCAAGTAAGTTTGTTTCTTTGATGTTTCTTTTGCCGGAGAGGGGGCAAGTAAGTTTGTTCCATTGATGTTTCTTTTACTTTCATTTGAAGAAGTCCGATGGAGCCTGAAGAAGTTCAGCCATCATTTGAACCGTGAAATGTTTGGAACTTGTGCGATGAAATGTTTTCGTACGTCGTCGCCGATTCGAGTTGCTTAGTCGGCAGGTTCGAGGTGATACGGACGGAATTGCCTGGTCTTTGATTTGTTCTCAGTCTGTCTCACTCGAAGTTGTGACGGGCTCGAACCTGGGCAATCATGGGCAAAATGGCACGCAGGTACAAACTCAAGCAACCAGGGAACCACCAGCAGACTCCAGGTGCTATTCTTTTTCTTACGCAAATTCTTTGCTTCATAAAAGACAAAGGTTTAGCATGTAGCCGCAAAACCATCCAAAGGTTCGACAAATCCAAACGAGGCTGACGCGCCACCTACGCATCTCCAGGTTCTTCTACATACTAAACACCATGAAATCTTCAAAGCTATCCTTCAGCACACATGCTCGTTTGTTTGGCGTTTGGCCAGGCGGTATTTCTGTCGAGTACTCAGGCTAAACCTGGCCAATTCCTCAGCAGGGTGTTGTGACCGCACAGCGTCCTAATAAACCATAGGCAACCCTTCAGCTGGGCATCAATCTACTTACTAGGCGATCGCAACATCGCAAATTCAACAGCACGTGTTGCGTTTTTAACCACGCAACGCACATGTGAACCTTGTGAACCATGCGCCATGCGAGCATCGCAACACAGAAGTATGTGGGCGTAGCACATGTGCCTACATATGTGCAAGCATGGCAACTCTGCCACAAGCAATGTCCAGGGAACTTGATCTGGAATCGGCTCTGCAGCCTGTCAGCACGACAGCATGACCTGACCTCAGCATCTCAGCATCACAACGTGTCCGCATGTTAACATGGCCCATGGCAGCATGTCAGCATGACAACATGTCAGCGTGATACCATGCCAGCACATCAGTGCGACGACATGCTGGCGTGTCTCCACGCCCGTGCATGACAGCAGTATCTACAACGCTCCAGCATCAAACCTTGTCAGCATATTGGCGTGATAACAACATGTTACCGTGCCAGCAAACACAGCACGTCAGCGTGATAGCAAGTTGCAAGGTAGCATGACAGTGACAACATACAGTCAGGCACCAGACGAGCAAAGCAGCCTGACGGCATAACAGCACGTCAACAGATCTCTGCAAAATGGTTTCCAAGCTTTCTCCGGAATCCCGGAACTTGGTTCAAAGCCAAGTGCAACTTCAATTGCGCTTTGAGCTGGCCTCATAGCTCTCGCGCGATCAATCAAGTTCAACGTCTGCGAGGACCAGCTGCCTCGCGCCAACTTGAGATGCAACAGTGGAAAACAAACTAGAAGCTTGCAAGTGTTCCACTGGAACTCCTGAAGCCAGAACAAACGTCCACAAGAAAACAAAGAAACCAATTGTACACCGACCTAGCCTAACTTTGCTGACTTTTGCGACCCACATAACCCGGCAAACTGTTGATAGTGAGCACCTAATGTCAGCCCACTCTTACCAGGTCATAAATGAATATACCAGCACACCCGTGCGCCGTAACAGCCTGGCAAGACTCTGCCGAAAGACAGTCCTGATAGACATGCGGCGCGCAGGACGTGCAGGTTGCTACCGATCCTGCCGTTAAGTGCGTGAACTTTGGGACCGTGCGTGGAGGCCATTTTTGTGAAGTCCTCATACTTGTTTGACGTTCTTTTCGTACAACATGTGTCCATGGTTTTCAAACATGTCAAGATCTTCAGCGCGCTGCATGGTAGCGGGGTTTCGCAGGAATTGCTTAGGAGTAGCACGGCTGAAACATCTGCAGGCATCCATCTGCATGGCCCTCGGCTCTTGAGAAAACCTGCGCACAACCACGGGCTTGCGCTTGCTCACTCCCTTGCCTAGAAATGACATGAAGCCAGGAACCCACAAACTACGCCCAAAGTAGATTAGCCAACAGGGCATCTCTGGCGCCATGCCACGAACTCTTATGCGTTGCCAAAACATGAACAAGTTTGCTCCAAACGCCAAGCAGGCTGAAGAGCCTGGCCATACAAACCAAAGTGACATGCCCAGCACCCAGCCCACAGCCCGCCCCAAGAGTGCTAACACGGCCAAGCCGGGCCAACCCCTACTCTGCAGGTGCAGAACCACTCATACCCCACATCGTCAAACCAAAAGGGTGAGGAAGATGTGTGGGAAATAGTTCCAGCACCGGACCTAGAGGAATAGCTACGAAGGTAGCAAACCCTACAACGCAGTAGGGCTTCAACACGGTCCGTTCAGAGGTTGACCTTGATTTGTACAGCAAGCAGGTGGGAAATATAGTGTTGGGAGAGTATCCTGAGAAATCGCCTCATACTGCCTGACATATGAGCTAGACATTTGTTCTGACAACCCGCAACATCTAGTGTTTGTTTGGTTTAAATCAGGATGTTGCCCGGGTTCTTCCCACACAGTCCTGTAGGTGGCTGCTAGTCGCCCTCTTTCTGCCACAAGAGGCTTAGGTTGTGCCTCTTTCGCGCCACCAAATCCTGAGGAAGACCTGCTGTCAACTTCACCCCATTCTTCGAAGAATCGCAGTGCATAGACTCGGGCAACCATCTCCTTCTGCGACTTCATCTTGACCTGCTTTGAGGGAGACCATGCTTAGGGACATATAGTTTAATAGATTGTGCGAATTCGGAACCCGGTCTACTGAGAGCGGATCTCAATTCTTGGACAAACCCAGGTTCTCATATTCTGCAGCTGCTTACCAGGATGTGTGATGTCATGTGTTGTAATGCGTCATAGTGTGTCACTGTCGCCACCAAAAAAGACAAAATTCTTGGGGACATTGAGGCGTGTCTGGCTCCCAGAGTTGCAGGCTTGCAACCAGGCTCGCAATTGAAGCACCAGCCAGAAACATCTTTGTTCGGGCACACTTCGACAAGTCTTTTATGCTCAATCAAAAGCTGACATCCAATTCCTGTAGCTGAGCATATTGTCATGGAAAATCATAGAATAATTCAATACACAGTCCATAAATTTCTGAAGCTCAATTAGCAGCAGTTCAAGGGCTGCAGTAGATGCTGGACCTGCTTCATGACAGGTGATTGAGGTAGTTGATGGGGCAAAAAATGGATTTCTGGCAGACGGGACTCATATTGCGTGGCAGAATCCGACTTGCAGCACACCTGACATGAGTAAGACGGTCTTCCTCTCCCCTGCAAGATCTTTTACACAAATGCCTACATCCTGTTGTGCGTTCACTACTTGCATGAAAAGAGTTCCTCCAGCTCGGGAAGGCCACCTCTTTCTGCCGCTTATTCATCTTGACCTGCTTCAAAGGAGACCATTCCTACAAACAAACATGAGGTCATGCATTTTCAATCGTATCTATTGAGAACCGATCGCGATTTTTGGGCGGATACAGGTTTTCATTTTCCAAAGCAAGTCTAAATTCTGGAGCGGCTTGGATATGTGTGATGTGTCATGAGATGTCACTGTCCCCAGCAAGGAAGCTCACCAAATATTTGCAAGGCACATTCCGAAGTGTCTGACTCTCAATGGTGCAGGCTCGCAATCGCTCTGATTTTAAACAAAGGGGCCAAGCACATCTGAGTTCGGGTGCACTTTGACAAGTCTTCTGCGCTCAATCAAAAGCCGACATGCATTTCCTGTCAAGGGGCGGCAATTCAAGGACGCATTCCAGGCCACCTGGCATGTGTAGTTACTATATCTTATTCTGAGTCATTCTGTCACAACCACCGTGGAAATAGGAAGTTTTCTTCGGCTTCTGGTCCATCTAAGTCCAGTTGAGAGAAAAGCGCCGGGCACAGGTAAACTCTCCTGTCTTGAGATGGCTCCAGGTACCTTTTTGTACCCCTACTACTTGTGGTTTAGATGGTGAAAAGGAAGCAGGGAAGTTGCACAGAGAGCACCAGTGATACCAGAACTGCGTGTGCTTTCACGACCCAATGAAGAGATGTTGAATGAAGAGAAAAGGGCCCTGGGCCCACGCGACCAGGTGTGGGTAGAATCCGTTCAAAGATGGCGTCCTTTTGGTTCTTGATGTTTCTCCCATGCCCTCAAGAGGTCTTGAGTGCCCCTGAAACAGGCTCTTCTTGTATAGTTTTCCTGTAGATTCTGCTGGACGTTTGTTGACTGATAAAGCTCGAGGGGCAAGCGCCGTTCGCCAAAGGAGCTGTCCGCCTATAGGATCTTTTCAAGCATACTTTCTTGGCGCTAGCCGCTAGCAGCCATTTTATATTCAGCGCTGGTGAAACATTGTTTCCAAGGAGTCATCACATATAAGGTAGTATCTCCCAGGGCACAATCTTATCTTAAAGGGAGGCGTCACATTTCCAACATACAGTTTCCACAAGGCTTGTGTCTTTGGATGGTCTCATCAACCTTGCTGCTTTGCACAGGATACAGTTGCTGACGTCGTGCGGCAAGAGTTTCAAACGCATGTTCGTCCCAAAGCTTTTGCTTGGTGGCCAGATCTTCAGGTGAATCCTTTGGATGAGCAGTGTCACTGTACTTGGAGTCCGCCAACGGGCAATCATTGTCATTAGAAGCATCAAGTCAAGGAGGGAAATCGGATTCGCTTGTTGCTGACGCTTCCGCGCAATTCGTTAATGAATTGTTGCCATGGTTCACCACCGTACAGCCCCTGCCCAGGTGCGCCTGTGCAGGGGGTGCTCCTTTCAGCAAACAAAATGCACCGCTGATGTGAGGTTGGTGGCTGGTGTACTCAGCCAATATTGAACACATTTCCGGCGGGGTCTAATGCAAATATCGGGGAACATGACAAAGAATGCTGACCCCAGACCTACAACTTCATGATCATAGTCATAGCTGACAAGCACGGGTTCACACCTGGATTGAACATCCCGCTTGGGTGAGTTCAGCGCCTGTGCAGGCTTTGATTGTATAGTCCATAGATCTTCTTTTGCAAATGACCTAAGTCGCTGCGGCCTTCGCTGGCAAACTTTGAGAATTCGGGCGAATGAATTCTCGAGTGAATTCACCGGGTTTCGTTGTACGTTCTCTGGTGGAAACTCCATCTGGAATGCACATGTTATCATTTGCAGCTGACCTAGCTTCGGGCTGAATTGGCATTGCACGTGGAAGACGTTCAAAGTGTGTTGCGCAAAGCTTGAGGGTAATAGGGAAGCAATTCGGGCAAACATTCCGCCACATCAAGGTCTTCAAACATGACAGCAAACATTTTGTGGAAAAGCAAAGCAATGCGGAAAAGCATTTTGTAGTAGAGGGTGAGGTTTAGGGTCTAGAAATTGAGGGGGCTCAAGTTTCAGGTCTACCAAATGAAACGGGGCCTACACCACCGGCAAGGTGATTTTTTGGCTATAAAATGCAGTGGAAACTGTGAGCGTCAATTGTGTGCAGACCTCGGGTCCCCCTAGTAATTGACTTGCCCAATGTCTATCGCGCATTGCTTTACCGCT